CTAACTAGTTACGTCATCCTTTCATCCGATTAATTCCCGAATGAGTATGACTAATTTCGACATCGATAGTAGGTATACGGTGTGGAATAAAAAGAAATTAAAGGATATTTCATTTCATTTTCTTATCTATACGAGGTGTTTTTGAAATCAGTACATATATTCAGCAAATCAATGAAACGGATATTCCTAGCATGATATCATAGTCTTCTAATTCTTCTAATTGACGAGAACTTTGATCTTGAAAATTAAATGAAAATCGGAAGAAAAACAAATACACCACCTCGAAGCAATTCACATGATTGAACACCGCGTGCCTTCCGCAAAGAAATTTGTACAGGTAACGTCAGAATTGCTACAGTAGAACTTTAGGTGGTTTTGGTGTAGTGTTTGAACTCAGATAATGAAAAACATGTATTAACTGCGAATATGATTTTATTCTTATATCCGCGTGAACATTTAAATACGGTGTCTAGAAACGGACTGCTGGTGTCGTCCTTGATATCATTCGTTCGAAGGTTCATAAAAAAGGTATAACAAAATAGGTAAAAATGAATAACAAAAACCAAATCACCCAGTATATTCTTTTGGAATTTGGTACAAAAGTCCCCCTTCCTCTACCCCAGCGACTCACCTATCAGTCACGCTGAAAATCCACGTCCGGATTAAAGAAGAATTATGATCTTCTGGGCCCGAAAAAGAACACCCAGTATTTTCGAATTTCCAAAATCCGATTCCATATTTGGAAAGTTCACAAGATGAATCGAATTGTGTACTTTTCAATATCCCGCATGCTCTTCCACTTATTAATTTCTGATTTTGAAAACTCAAAACTTTCCATTTTACCTTGATTTCTACCTATCAAAATTCAAAATCAGATGAAATAACATTCGTATGAGAATGAAAAGTAGACAATCCGATTCAGATTTTTGTACATTCTTCAAATATGTAAGCATATTATGGAAATTCGAAAATACAGGGTGTTCTTTTTGGGGCCCAGAAATATAATCATTTTTCATCAATTCGGACCTGGATTTTTCTCGTGAATGATAGGTGAGGGGCTTGGGTAGATCAAGAAGAACTCGTGTACCAAATTCCAAAAAAAATATACTGGGTGGTTCGTGATAATATTATTCGATTGGGAAAATTCAAAACATATTATTTTTACCTATCCAAATGCATCAAACCTCGAATTCAGAATCAGAAATTCCTTTGTGGAAATGCATGTGGGAAAATGAAAAGTACCCCATTCGGTTCAGCTTTTTGTGCACTTTCCAAATGTGTAGGCGGATTTTGAGAATTCGAAAATACAGGGTGTTCTTTTTGGGGTCCAGAAATATAATCAATTTTCGTTAATTCGGACCTGGATTTTTCTCGTGAATGATAGGAGAGGGGCTTGGGTAGAACAAGAAGAACTCGTGTACCAAATTCCAAAAAAATATACTGGGTGTTTCGTGTGAATATTATTCGATTGGGAAAACTCCAAACATATTATTTTTACCTATCCAAATGTATAAAACCTCGAATTCAAAATCAGAAATTCCTTTGTGGAATTGCATGTGGGAAAATGAGAAGTACACCATTCGGTTCAGCTTTTTGTGCACTTTCCAAATATGTAGGCGGATTTTGAGAATTCGAAAATACAGGGTGTTCTTTTTGGGGTCCAGAAATATAATCAATTTTCGTTAATTCGGACCTGGATTTTTCTCGTGAATGATAGGAGAGGGGCTTGGGTAGATCAAGAAGAACTCGTGTACCAAATTCCAAAAAAATATACTGGGTGTTTCGTGTGAATATTATTCGATTGGGAAAACTCAAAACATATTATTTTTACCTATCCAAATGTATAAAACCTCGAATTCAAAATCAGAAATTCCTTTGTGGAATTGCATGTGGGAAAATGAGAAGTACACCATTCGGTTCAGCTTTTTGTGCACTTTCCAAATATGTAAGCGGATTTTGAGAATTCGAAAATACAGGGTGTTCTTTTTGGGGTCCAGAAATATGATCAATTTTCGTTAATCAGGACCTGGATTTTTCTCGTGGATGATAGGTGAGGCGCTTGGGTAGAATAAAGAGAACTCGTGTACCAAAGTCCAAAAGAATATACTGGGTGGTCGTGATAATTGTTGTTATTCGATTGGAAAAACTCAAAACATATTATTTTCACCTATCCAAATGCATAAAACCTCGAATTCAAAATCAGCATTGCCTTAGTGAAATTGCATGCGGGAAAATGACAAGTATACCATTCGGTTCAGCTTTTTGTGCACTTTCCAACTATGTAAGCGGATTTGGAGAATTCGAAAATACAGGGTGTTCTTTTTGGTGTCCAGAAATATTATCAACTTTTGTTAATCCGGACCTGGATTTTTTTCGTGACTGATAGGTGAGTCGTTTCGGTAAAAAAAGAAGGAATTGTGTACCAAATTGCAAAAGAATATACTGAGTGGTTCGTAAGTTATGTCCTCACAAAGAATTGGGCAAAATTGATAAAATACCCTATATCTCGGATATAAAACTCGTGAGACCCTACAAATATTGTATATTCAGAACCACCTTGATGAGCTGTACCTACCGTTGAAGTTTTTCCGTTTCCCAATGGGACACCCTGTATAAATGCATGGATTATAGAACAATTTTGTTTTTGATGTAGAACTTGATAAAACAGATTATTTCTCCCCTTTAATCAATTCTCTAAGAACAACGGATTCGGAAAAAAAAACAGAAACACGAGATTCTACCCATTTTTTGTGATAAATTGAGGGGAGCGAACTCTTCGAATCATTTGATCCACAATCAACTAAACTGGTCAACATTGATAACGTCGTGGTCCAAAATATAGCCTGAATTCAAAGTTGAATAACTCACGAATCTCCTTACCAATTTGAAATCGGTTTTCACCGATGATTAGCCTAATCTCTTGACAGTTTGTTGTGGCAATATGAAACTTCTGTAATCTCAGATAACATTGCTACAGGGTGATAATTGAATGGGTGTAAAATTGCATCATGGTCGTCACCTTACCGTTTGAACAGAATATTTTTTTAATTTTTTTTCTCACCTGTATCCTCTTAATTGATGCTTTCTCTCGAAACTTCTACGGAATTTTCAAATTCAGAGCTTTGATAATCGTGTTATGAATATTCATTCAGAATGATGCATTTTTTTGACGATTAATTGAATGAAATTGGAAGTTGGAATTCTTTTTCGAAGAATCAACCTTGTATGTATATAGTCGTCGAATATGTGATCGTGTTCGAACACAGAAAATTCTGAAGTAGTCTATACAAAGTGATACAAGAAATACTGAATGATGGAATGGAGAATAACGTAGTAGCAATATCGAAAAATCTGAAAAAAATTAACATTAACCCGCTCGCAGTTAACCTTCAGAGAGTATTTAAATACTTTTCAACTTGCTCTTTCAATTGTAATATAATTTTATAATTTTATAGCAATTACAACAAAATGAAAAATGAAATTGATTAAAATGTGATATACAGGGTCGCTGATATGTATATGGAAACAGGTAGATATCTCGGCAACCTGTGTGATTTCAAAACGTGGCGGATTTCAAAATGTTATAGCCAATGTTGCCACTTTTCCAGTTATTCCGGATTGTTTTGTAACTTCCTTATTCTGAATGAAACACCCTGTACTTTATTAGATTTTCAGATTTTCCTTGAAGAGCTGATTCCATCGATCTATCACACTTGGGGTCTAGCGGGAATGATTACATAAGTATAGGGTGTCTAGATTTTTTTACTTTAGGATTTTTTTGTGTCGAAACTATCCATTATCGATCAAAACCGCTCCAATGTTCCTATCTTTACTTTTAAATTGGAACAGATACAGAGCGTGATCAGAAATCTGAATCTTGAACCACCCTAGTATACACTGAAATGACGCCCCTGAACTGAACTCGACTAATCAAACACCCTGTATAACATGATACACCACTTATCGGCAATGTTTAGCGGATGTGGATGAAAGTAAGAAAATAGGCTAATTCTTATTAAAAGAAAAGTTAACACTGCCGCATGAGATGCATCATGATCTGCATGGATAATTCATACATGCAACTCTAGAAGAAGCTATAAAATCTTTGCATTCATCATAAACCAACCATTAGTGGATTTTTTCAACTCTAGTTCGGTACATCATGTGGGTCGAAAAATTGAAATTTGCTGTGATTTTCACTTTCTTGTGTGGTGTTGAGGTGGAAACAGAGACTGTTGGGAATAATTCGAAAATTGGGCTAGATAATGTGTTTGGGTGTGCCGAATCTGATACCAGGTGAGAAAATGAATACACAGTGTCAATACCTCGCACCATGAGAATATAATAGTGTGATAATTCAAAATGCCTAGTGTCGAGCGAGTCGTCTTTGAAAATTTTGAGTTCTTAAAAGTGGTGGATTTCCCTCTGGTGTACTTCATTCTAAGCGTCAAGAAACTTTCCTGTTACTTCAAAGTATTATACCTAAGTGTCATAAATTTATTCACGAAATTCCCCCAGTTATATTTTTTCAAATATCTCGAGAAAATGTTTAGAGGTGTTACAGTCAAGATTTATCTTAAGTATTCGCCCATTTTCTGCAAAATAGCAAGATATGTGACATCTCAAAAAATTGCCATATAGCTACTTAACATGTGCTAGATTGTTGGACATAGCCCTCAGGAAGAGTTAACCGCACGTGTTTCGTGTCTGCCTTTCAAACAGCAAAATGTGACCTCTCAAAAATTGCCATAATACTACTTGACATGTCAAATGTAAAACCTTCACAAACGATAAGATTTCCATAAAATTTTGAAATCCGATAACAATTTTGGAAAGTAATTGACCATTTTTGAACTGAAATTAGAAAAGGTGTAGTAGTGAAAGAAAGTTGAGAAATAAATATCATCAGGTGCCAAGCAAGTGAAAAAAATGATTCCTAACATGAATAATTATCAAAATATTTCCGGTTTGGAAACCTTGATCTAAAAAATTGGCCAATTATGATCTATAATGTCTCGAACAATTTTCATCTTTACAGTATCTCCTGTCTCACTGAGAAAGCCTCCAAAACCATCGAAAATTCCATGAACGAAACAATCTCTCTCTTTGGTGTAAACCTGATCAGAAACGAAGAAAAACTCAACTCCCGAGAAGGAAAATCCCTCCAAGGTTTCAACAGAGTCCTCAAAGCTATTTCGAACTTCCTAGACACACACACATTCTCCATAGATTTAACCGAACCAAGGTCCCTATCCAGCGAAGGAGGTACCCCCAAAAAAGGCGGAGGAGGAGGATTTTTCAACATGAACACCAAGGCCCTGAGAAGAGAGAAGAAGTACTACCAGTACGCCTTCATGGTGTTGCTGGGCATCTTTGGGCTGACAGGTCCCTTAGTCATGCAGGTTCTCGGCATAATGGCCGCCAAATCTCTTCTAGCAGCCAAGACGGCCTTGATAATTGTGGGAGGCGTGGCCTTGAAGAAAATTTTCGAACACGGTGGGGACAAGTCTCCCAAGGTGAAGATCACTACGTTGCCATTGCATCAGGATAAGTATGAGAGCGAGGAGGACCATGACAGATGGGGGCATGGTTTCAACCACATACCTTATGGGTATGGGTATGAGGGGAATAATCCTTATTCGGCTTATAGCACCATGAACGAGAAGGCCGACTATGCCCCTGTCATCTATGGGATTAATCAGAAAACGAAAGTTCTCAATTCGAGGTAGATCAGGTTGGAAATATAGATATAATTTTTGTCCTGTCATTTATTATAATTTATTATGAAATACATACCCAGATGACACGAAGATGTTTTGATAACCTTCTGGGTAGGTCCTGATAATGCTCCTGTTACCATTTTCTGCATCCGAATGACGTCTCAGAATATCCGAATATCCTATGCAGACGTCTTGAAGGCGTCTCAGGAACTTTCTGAGGAAATTCTGAATGATGAACTTATATAGACGCAAGACGTCTCTATAGGAGGTCCACCCCTATTTTTCTTGGGAAATATATTAATTTAATATACAGGGTGTATCTAAATAACACCGACAAAACATTGTGACATTTTAGGAAATAAAGTTCATAAAAACATGTATCCTAACTTGTTTCGTTTTCGAGATATTAATATTTCCATGAAAATAGTTATTTGTTTAACTAGGCAGCAAAGTAGTAGATTGACTGCCGTGGCTGAATTCATAGCCGAGCGTAGCGAGGCTAGGAATCCAACTAAGGCAGTCAATCTACTTTGCTGCCGAGTTGAACTTATAATTTTTTCTCCGATTGTTCATAATGATATGGGAGAATATTGTATTTGCGAATTAATACAATTCCCACAATCTCTTTATTCTTCCTGTAGTGTTCAATTAAAATAAAATTTGATAGAAATCGCAGTTGTTGGTTTGACAATTCATGAAATTTCTGACAGTTGTGCGAAAAAATATCGGTATATTTAAATTATTATATAATGGACAGTGATAGCGACCTGGAAGTATACTTACACCTCCATTGATAAGGGAGGTGGCAAAAAATATAGAGTTGAATTTGTTGCCGGAGAAGTCTCGGATGGAATATAAAGGAAATTATAAACGATTTATGGATTTTTAATTTTGCTGATACATATCAATCAGCAAAGTAACCACTTTGCTGCCTAGGCAGGAAAAGTAATACTTTGCTGATCGATATGTCAGCAAAATTAATATTTGCTGCCAATCGGAGGAAAATCTTTTTACTATTCATTTCTCAATTGTCTTTTCAACAATTTCAATAAAACGTTATGGTTTTGTTAATAGTAATATGGAGCTTCTTCTAGTGCAATTAGATTCAAAACAATATTTCCAGTGGCGTCACAGTGGGTGAATTTATCGATATTCATGGTGAATGTCATTGTACTACACCGGTTTTTCTGAGTCATATTCTCATTAGATTGAAGTATTGAAATAACAACTTATTCGTCCTCTGTGTGATTTTTGTACCTAGCTTATTTTTTGAGGAAACAATAAAAATTCGATTTGAATGTATTTGAATGTATATATTATATATACAGTGTGTTACAATTTGGTCCACCCAACTCTTGTACTATCGTATTCCTAGGGCGATTTGTTAATTTTTTTCTCACAGTATACTACTCAACATTTTCTACTTTTTCGGGCAAACAAAATTCATCAAATACAATTTCTTAGCCTAATGCGATCACTAAAACTCCAGCAAAATTGAAGAAAACGGATTAGGCATTTTTTTACAAAAATTTTGATGTAGGCAATCGATTCGGACTAGTCACAAATAACTCTCATATTATCAATTTTCAAAACAATATCTCATACGGGGTGTATAATTATTCTCAGAATTTGAATGATATCAGGCATAATGGTAGTTAGAATAAAAATATTTCGCTACAGAGTGAGACAAATAACTGACAAAATCACTGAAAATTAGGATTTTTCTATCAAGAAATAAATAGAAACCAAATGATACCTATCAAAAAACTACATAAAAAATTAGACAAAGAACAAAACAGCAACTATTCAAGTTCAAATGTTTTTATTCTCAATCAAATCTCCATTCTCTACACACTTTTTATATCCCTTTCTTACGTTATTTTCAACTCTCCTCAGTTCTTCTTCTTCTGGTGGTATCTGTCTGCAAACTGTTTATTTGTCGCAATTAACTCTTCCCTATTTCTTGTCCTCAATTAGTAAACCTTGCAGGAGAGTTGAAAATAACTTACGAAAGGGACATGAAGAGTGTATAGAGAATGAGGGAGATTCGATCAAGATTACAAAAATTTGAACTTGTTAGGAATAATTGCTGTTTTGTACTTTGTCTAACTTTTGGTGTTATTTTTTTATAGGTATCATTTGGTTTCTATTCTTTTCTTGATGAAAAAAATCTTAATTTTCAGTGATTTTATTAGTTTTTCATCTCACTCTGTAGCCAGATGTTCTAATCCTGCCTACCATCATGCCTGATATCATTCAAATTCTAAGAATTATCATACACGGTGACTTGAGATATTGTTTTAACAATTAATATAAGAGTATTTGTGACTAGTCGATTGCATACATCAAAATTTTTGTTGAAAAATGCCTAATCCGTTTTCTTCAATTTGGCTGGAGTTTTTGTGGACGCAGTAGGCTAAGGAATTGTAATTGATGAATTTTGTTTGCTCGAAAAAGTAGATAGTTTTGAGTAGTACACTGTGAGAAAAAAAATTCAAATCGCCCTAGGAATACGAAAGTACAGGGGTGGAGTGGACCAAATTGTAACACACTGTATGAATATAATATAATTTCATTATTCGGTTTGAAAAAATGGTCACAAGATAGAGCCTTCTGAAATTAGATCACTTGACTACTTCCTGATTGAGAAATAGTAGCATTCATTATCTGGTTGTCCTATGTTAGCATTTCTTGGAGTGACCGTCAGCGAGATGGATGGCCGAGGGTCATAAGGGCGGATAATGGCCCAAATTAGATTATGCTAGGGACAGTGGCCGAGCTTCGGATGTCAATATTTCTCCGTAACGGTACCTATGAGAAATACGCTCGGTCGTTTGTTCGGATCAGACTAATTGGTTCGGATTATTCGAGAGCTAGATGGAAAACTAATGAAAACGTACTCGTTCGATGCGCCGAATGTGGTGAACGTCAAAAAAATTAAGAAAAATTGGCAAATACTGTCTAGTAGGTATTTATAACGACCTTTTCAAAATATGCATACCCCTTAAGGGTACTTACTCCATAGACTTGATTTACTTACTCGCTTGGCTTTGAGAGGGTTGTTGTTATACTGTGACTGTGGAACATAATGAAATAGAAAGAGTATTTAAAAAGTGAAAGAAACGTATTTATAGAATAAAAAAATCATATTGCTACTTTCAATTTGGGTATCAGAGGATCCATCTTCAATGGGCACAAGGAACCTTTCTTGCTCTACGCCCGACGTAGACTGCCTTCGTATTTTTCATAATCGAACTACTCCAACCAATCTTTGATTGTTTATTAATTTCTATATCTCAGCAGTTTTGAGAATCAATGTATTTTCCGTTCAATCTGAGTTCATACAGGTTTTGGAAATATTTAATAAGAAACTTTAGTTCCTGTCTAGGACGAGTGTCATGCAATACATTGGATTTGAGATGAATATTATTTATTAAGAATAATTAGGCTCGACTTCAGATTGACGAAAATTTGATTAGGAATTACTATATGAAAATTGGTTGGTAGCAACCCAGACAGCACAAAGTGATTCTAAGAACGTTCTTACAATATCCACGTGGAAGATTTGGAATATTCGCTGAATGTTCTCACAAGGTGCAACGTTCTGAGAATACTCTAACAACATGCAAATAGGACAAAAATTCACGTTACAATAACGTTCCCACAATATGTTCCAGAACATTCTATGAATATATAGAACATCCTCATCATAATGATCTACGAATATTCCCATATTCCGAATATTTCAGAGACCGATATAGGATGAGAATATTATACGAAGGGACACCTGACAAAAAAAATAAGAACTTCAAAATTCTGAGTTACAACTTGTAATTTTAGAATTTCGACTATCTCTCTGAATTGTATGACTCAAAATTTTATATCTAATATTCCGAGTCGACTAGGAAAAAAGTAAATGGAGATATAGCGATACATTCGAATTCACTCAACCCCATTGCTACAGCAGATGGGCATGACAGGGTTTATCAAAATCAGCGAGAGGAATTTTGAATAATTAATGAGAATTTGATTTTTTTGAAAAATTTGACTCCCTGTATCTTATTGAAACGAACCAAGCGTTAGGACATATGTTTATAGGGAACGAAAAAAAAATCTCTTTCTCAGAGTATCTAAATAATATGAATTATCCGCCACTAGCTATAAAACACACCATTACTTACAAGAAAACTTGTTCTTCTTGAAGGGAATGTTTTATTTTGAAACTAGGTATATGGTGACTGATTTCAGTGCCTGATGATCAATTTCCATGACAAACACAATGCTTTGGAAATGTTTTTATGGAAACGGAGAATTTTTGACAAACAGTGAGTTTCAGTCACTTTTCGAAAATTCATATTTTCAAAAAACACCTTGTGTGAATTGATCAACAGGCACCAACATCAGTTTTTTTTCTATCTAGTACGGGAATAGGACTTTTCCACTTGAAAGTATCCAATTTGGCCCACCCTGTACATTTTTTAAAAAGATATAAGATATATTATGATCAACTGCATACGTAGATCACCATAGATTTTTATGATATTATTTGCATAATATCTGGTATTTTTGTATGTAACTATATGATAGCCATGTAGTTATTTCAGGTGAAGTCCGGGAAACATGTACTTTACGGACAAGATCAGAAAAATGTTATTTTTTCAAAGGAAAATCGCCTTGAATAATTGCCGAAAAATTGAATTTTTGGCGAATGCCATTGATATACTTCCGCCAAAACTTCATATATGTGAGATAGGTGTCAGACCCATAATGTTATAAAAATTCAGGGCGGTTTCGCCAAAAATTTAATTCGAATAATGCTGGGTATGAAATAAATATGAATTATTGCAATGAAAAAGTGGTTATGGCTAATATTCATTCTGTTTGAGTTTGAGATGTTCATGAAATTTCGATCAGTGGAGGTAAAACTGCCATTTCTAGTCAACCTTTTTTTTTGCTAACTACCAGTGAAAATTGTGATATGGTTCACATAGTTACACAATACGCAAGTG